ACTAATAAATCGGTGACATCGATTTGCTTCTAAACAGTGAATAGTTAAACTGCAGTACAAAAAAACACTACATTTAATTAGTAACACAATGACAGTCCGTCTCTCCCAAAAAAAAAAAAAAAAAAAGAAAATTAATAATAAACAGAACATTGACCAGGATCAATCAAAGAAGTATTTATTTTGATTGAAAGCAGATCAATCAGTTCATCTGTAGTTTTACAAGGTATCAGCAGCTGTATTTCGTCATGTTTCGGCATCATCAGGAGATTTTTGTTGGTTTTAATCAGTTAAACATGAGTTATATTGGTTGAAGCCAATAGAAATGAAACCTGCAATAAATTAAATAATTGGAAGAAGTGAAAGCAGTTCTGCTCTGGGTTCATGTTGAAGCAAACATAAAGGTTTGTTCATCTAAAGACATTTTGTGGTTGATGACTGCTGTTATAGTTTCTTCATGACGGGACCTCCTCACCCCCCCCTATGGCCAGCTGTGCCTCTGCATACAGAAGCATAGATAGCCTGAATACACAGAACTGTACGCTTTCTAAATTTTCACTATATTGTGCAGCTGTAGTTTTACTGGCATCTGATGCGGGGATCATCGACACAGATGTTTTTTACTTAAATTCATTCCATACGAATGTGCAAATGTTTCATTCTGCTTTTTTTTTTTTTTCTGATCGATTTCCGGATGAAGCATCGAAATTGTTGCTAAAGCCTCTTTAACATACTAACCATCTGATTTACAGTTGTGGCTTAAAAAAATGCTCCATTTTCTTCCCCCCCCTCCCCAATCGGAACTGATATGTTCTGCATCTACACGCAATCATGGGTCTGAGCAGTGGCAACTTAGAGCATCAATTATTTATTTATTCTTTTTTTTGTGTGTAAACTTTAAAAATTATTCATCTAAATAATGATGGTAGCAAAAAGTGACGTGTATGATTTATTTTTGTTTCTTTATATATATATATATATATATATATATATATATATATATATATATATATATTACCTTTACAGCATTTCAATGAAGCATTAAGTCAAATAAAAAAATAAGAAAAAAGATAATGTAAAAGCTTTGAACTTGTACTCAGGTGTGAATTGTCGCACATTAATGGAGCCATTCGGCAGCTTTGGCTCCGATCTGAGATCTCACCAGAGCACAGACTGTATGAACTAAAGGAGCATCACATATGGAGAGAAAAGCTTCGGTTTACATACCAGATTTACTGGAATCCTACTTTGGTTTGTAGAATCTGAAGAGAAACCCTCCTAATGCCTCTCCTTGTGGGAACCCTGCTGATTGTTGGGTAGAACGCAGATTTAAAACTCCAACATTAACATAAATGTTTTTTGTTTCCCCTAATTCGCCTTGAGAGCAGCGCTTGTGAATGTTGCAAGTACCCAGTTCGATCCCCGCAGTCTGACTCCCTGAGCAAGACCCTTAACCCCACACTGCTCCCCGGGCACAACGGCACACAATGCTCACAATGGCAGCCACCTGCTCCCCAAGCGGATGGGTTAAAAATGCAAAGTGAATTTCTCCATTAGATGAATGATGTTCAATTTTTTTTTTTTTAATATACAGTTAACATTAAAAACTTTATTTGTAGCAACCCCTTTATCATTTTACGCTTGCATGCCTATTTATTTTTAGAGCTGAAAAGAAAATAGGCTTATTTCTTCACCATAAAACTAGATGGGGGCATAAAAAATTAATGTCTTAACAAGGAAAGTATTTTAATTTGAAAAAGTACCTTTGCTTGCAGCTTTCTTTTAAGCTCCTGTGGGGAAAAAAATAAAAATATTCGCACCTTTTTAACCATTTTTCTTTTTGTTTGACAAACCGCTTTTAATACCAGACAAGGATAACCTGAGTAAGCAGATAATGCAGTTATTAGATTGTTTTATTTATTAAGGGAACAGCTTTTTTTTTTTTTTTTTTTTATTGCTACAGACGGGCCAGATTCCTGCTCAACCTGCAAAATCAAGAGATCACATAGATTGTCAGACATGAAGTAGGCTTAAGGATCTAAAATTGTAAAGCATCTTTATGAAAGATTATTTTCTCACGAAAGTAATAATTTTGCCTGAACGGCTCGATGTGAGAGTGCGGTGTGGCTGAAGTGTCCTTTTGTTTTACAGTGACTATATGCTCTGTGGGTTTAACCGGTTTGGTTGTGAGAAGATGAATTATTGTGCCTCCTGTCAGTCACAGAAATGGGCTAATTGCTCCTTGAACATTTCAGTTTGGACTCGGTTCACGTTTTTTCCCGCCTCGTGAACGCCTGCAGCTTTTCACACCTCCATCGCTCCACATCTAAACTCCTTTGCTATAAAAGCTGCAGACCTGAGAGAAAGAAAAAAAAAAAGGACAGCTCCAACTTTTCTCCTCCAGAACCACCAGTAAACCCGACTGTTGTCGGTTCCCATCTGCTGACTTATTTTGTTGTGACTGTGTGTGTTGGTTTACTCTGTTAACTGGCCTTTGTCAAATGGAACTCGCCTACTAAACAACGTGTTGCTTTATTACCTGTATAGATACAATTTTATTTATTGTCTTTTTAATATCCTCTGCATTCATTGTGCCGCCATGTTTTCATGCCTAAGCCATTAAGATTTTTAATTAAACTGTATTTTCTTTAACCCTTAGTGTTTGTGTGACTTTTTTTCAACAGTCTAAATTAATTTGGGATGTTTTTTTTGTTTGTTTTTACTGCCTTGTGTCTACTCTGGCTGTTGCTTCAGATCCTTTAAGTAGATCATTCTAATGAGGATATATTTTGATCTAAATTCCAAAAAAGTATTAAAAAGAATCCACTGGAATTTGTTTCCAAGTTTGAAGACGTTTCTCTTCCCATCCAGGAAGCTTTTTCAATTCTAAATGTCAGGAATAGCGTTTGAGGCTTTATACAGACTATAACCTGGATGACTGAGAATCTTCACCAGCACAGAGCAACCATAGAAAGTTGATTTATTTATTTATTTATTTATTTTTACACGGGAACAGCTCATTAACATCTCTTAAGCCGAGATAATACATCACTACTTTCCATTCAATTCAGTTTATTTCTATAGCGCCAATTCACAACACATGCACTGCAAAAAATCAAAATCTTGATAAGTAATTTTTTCTTAAAATAAGTGCATTTGTTCTTTAATTGAGGAGATAAAAGAGACATCTTGCCAATGGAACAAGACAATTTCGATTTAAAATAAGAACACAGTTGCATTGTCTTATTTCAAGTGAATATTATCTAATTATCTTATTATAAGACTAAAAATACTGATTCCATTGGCAAACTATCTCATTTACCTACTGAAATTAAGGGTGAATACACTTCATTTAAGAAATTTTTTACTTATTTCTTGATCGTTTTTACAGTGTGTCATCTCAAGGCAATTTACTATGGAAGCAAATTGTTACCATATTTAAAATGAAAAAGCATTTCTGGAAATGCCTTTTCATTTTAAGAATGTGGCTGCATTGTTTGGCTCATCAATGAAATTAGTAATCAATCATATTTGCATTTTAATTTTCTTCTTCAACACCGCTCATCCTTTTACTTTATTTCAATGAAAAAGAAAGACATTTAAGATTTATTTTCAAAATGTACCCCTCAAATTTCTTTTTCATTTAAATAAAAGAATGAGCAGTGTTGAAGAACAAAATGAAAATGGAAACAGGATTATTGATTACTAATTTAATTTGAGTCAAACAATGCAGCGACATTCTTAAAATGAAAAAGCATTTCCAGAAATGCTTTTTCATTTTAAATATGGTAACGATTTGCTTCCATAATTTACAGTTCACCAGATCATCCAGTCAAATTGATTTAAAGTTTTCTGTCTAAGGAAAACAATTTAATTGCATCTATTCATTGACTCAAAGGCAACCCCTCACGCTAAGCATGCTTGTAGCGACAGTGGAGAGGAAAACTCCCTTTTAACAGGAAGAAACCTCCAGCAGAACCAGGTTCAGTGTGAGCGGCCATCTGCTGAGGCCGACTGGGGTTCAAGGAGACAGAAGCAGACATGGAAAAAGCAGCAGAGATACAGAAGGCAACCGTAAACCAGCTCCACAGGCGGCCCCATCCAGGAAACAGCCAGCCAGACGAGCTCCGAGCCAGCTCCCATGTCGGAGGATGAGGAGAGCACATCCAGTTAGTCACAGTCAGAGAAACAGGACTACACTGAGTAATTTGTAAGTACCAGCTGAGTTGAAGATGAGAGAAAAACAAGAAATTCTAGGCATCTCTTCTATCAATCATTGTGGACAATCTGAGATCTTCAGGAAACAAAACCTCTAAGCCCTAGCAAGGATCCAGCCAGAATATCAGCAATGCAGCACTGTGTGTTTAACTGAAACCTGGCTGCATGATCAAATCTCTGCCTGCCCATATGAGCAGACAGAGATTTAAAGAAGACTGTAAAATTAAAAGGAGGTGGGTTGGCAGTCAGGTAGGGTCACCCAGGCGAGTTGCTGGGAAGATTTGTTAAGATTCTTCAATTGCAGTTTATCCCTAATTATAAAAAAGCTTTTCCAGATATTTTCACGGTTAATTTCATATATGAGGTTATTCTTAAACAGAAGCTGAATGTTTTCACTCCTCTCGTGATCCCCTCCTATCCCACAAAATATCAACTTAAAAGGTTTAACACCCAACACCCGAATCACTGCTGGACGGCCACATATCAGAGCAGAGAATGTAAAACAAAACCAGAACTGATCTGAATGCTTTCATGCTTCTAACGCCTCCAAGCTGCTTCGTGTCAGTCATTCCCGGACCATCATCATCATCTGCAGTTCGGGAAGCAGCTGCAGGACTGAAAGTTTGTTTTGCAGCTGGAAATCCTTTGCAGATGTGAGCCGTGTTTTCTGTCCTGCCTGTTTCCGAAGCGAGGAAATTTGAGCTACCGTTTAAAGTGGTTTCCAGCTCCTGCTGACAGCGGTTTGGAAGCTCTCACTCAGAACCACACAAAAACAAGCCAGAGCCTTTCTTTCAAACAAACCTTTATTTGGCATCATTTTCTTGTAAAAAAAACCAAACAAAAACAACAAAAAAGCATCAGACTCGCAGATACTGATTGATTTAAACACGTGGAAAATATAAAATTATCATAAAGATCCATTTCAACCGTTTTCTCACCGCTGAGCAACAGATTTCGATTTAAGAGTCCAATCAGAAATTAGTGTTTAACTCAACATTCCTGTCATTCAGCAGAACAAAAAAGATGAAATGATAATATTTCACGACTTATTCAAACATTGCAAGTCACCAGGGCAGTGTAGCACTCTTGGTAATAAAAACAAAAAATACCCTTTCAAAATAAAATGCAAAGGGAGAAAGTTCACAACACTGGCCTTTATAGGAACCCAGCAGTATTTTTTGCATGTTTTCTCAGCCTGGTTTAGATTAAGCTCCAGTTTGTGGCTCCATCCACTATAATTACATCTGACTCTCAGCTGCAGCCGCTTCCTTGAAACATGAAGCTGATCAGCCGAAAATAAAGAGAACAAACCTGAACGATACATTTTGTTTATGAAGATAAAGATTTTTTACTTATTTTCCAAGGTGGAATTGGAATATCTTTTCTTGCTTACTTTATAAAATATGCAAAATGAAAAAGTTTGATCTCTGTTGGTAAATTATTGGAGGATTCTGGAAAAAAAAAGTGTTAATTTTCTTTTTTTAATGTTTCTTTTTCATGTTCAAATTGCATGCCTGACTTAAATGTATCAAAAGTGGTCAGTTGCGACTCTGTTTTAAATGTAATTTAAGTTTAGAAAACTATAAAAACCAGAAAGAAAATATGCAAACTAAAATAAAAAATTTTCTTAAAAGAAAAACAGAACATAATTTTTTTTCAACCTATTTTTATTGAATTTAAATGCAGAAATTTTACATGCTTGAAAATTCAATATGAATAGAATGAATTTTCTATGTTTTTTGGAGTTTTCCAATTTGTGGATTTGTAAATGTACGGTAAGCTGTATTCTACAGTTTCTAAATTGAAATGAAATTAAAATTAAATTACTGTTTAGAAACATTGATTTATTTTGGAAATGTTTTGATATTTGCATTTATTCACTTTTTCAGGTAGAAAACGGAAACTAAAACCCTGCTTTAAGGTACTTACTATAAAGTAAGCCATAATCCTTGCCGGGTTTTTATCACAGTGATTTCTCTGCATGTTAACATCAAATAAAGTTTAAAAAATAAGAGCAATGTTCACCTAAACGCTGCTGTGACTGTATGAAGCATGCAAAAACACGTGGGACCTTCAGGCCTTTACCTCTTAGCGGCAACGCAAAGAAAAACATGTAAAAAAAAAATTAATTCAGTGTTTGATGTAAAAAAGAAATAAAAAAACAGGCACAACAAATATCTACCTTTGACCTTTCTGAAGCCTCGGTCTCTCAGACTTCTTCTAGCTGGTCTCTAACCTAAGCATATTTACAAACCGTACAAGAACATGACAGTAGTTTGGAAAAGAGGTCTGTCAATGTGTCTGGTGACCCTGCAGAGCAAACTAGACATAAAAAAAATCTGTTTTGGTCAAATGTAACACGACTTTCTACACAAACTAAAACCTGTCAGAACTACCGTTTGGTCTCCAACATCATGTCCTGCGTCACATCTCACAAAAATAAAAACATGCACATGAGCCAGAGGATGCTGTGAAATGGAAATCTGAGCCAAAATATCTTAAATAACAAAATATATATAATATATACACTTTCATAAAAAAGGAAGGATGTCGCACAAACACTAAACGACAGCAATGGGCTGAAAACTAATGCGAGAACTGAAGGCTGAAAACACGAATCTCTACATTGACACCAGGGGGGAAGGTGTGGTTGATGTGTGTCAGTGAATGTTTTTCCTGCTGCTGAGAACGGAGAATGATGGGGAGGGGGGGGGGCATCCAGACTCCGACGAGGCGGCGGCAGTCTGCAGATCTCAGGTCGGTGGGAGCGTCCTGAGCCTCTCTGACTCCGACGCGTTCTGAATGCTGCTTCAGGTGACCGTTCAGCGCCGCAGAACCTTCAGGAGTTTTACTGGAAAGACAGATGAGACAGTGAGCTTGACTCCTTTTTCTGTTAACTCTAGAAGAGCCACAGGAGATTTTTTTGGCCCAAATATTTTAAAACTCAGAATGCAGCTTCTGATGCCAATTTTCTTTTTGAGCTGCTTGTTTCTCTGGTTCCGTAGTTATAAACTCTTTAACTTAATCTGGGATCTTGGTCATTTTAGTTCCTCCTTATGTGCAACATGTGATGAGCTACATCTAATTCAAATATACGATGGTTTAGAAACAAATATTTGCTGACATTTTTAAATAGTTTTAGATTATTTTGAATAAGTAGACAGATCAAGTGACTGGAACAAATACAAAAATCAGTTTTCAAAAGAATTATTATAGGGTATAGCCTCGTGAGACCATCCTGATGTCGCGAGCTTTCAAGGTTTCACTCGCTAATCAGTCTGGAGACTCTCCGTTAAAGAAAATTTGGAGCCGTTAACCAAACGAACGTCCAATCAGCGTTGGCTTTGAGGCGGATTGAGGTGTGACGCAACGAGAAGCGCGACAGTTCAGTCTAAAGAACATGGCGGCTTCAGCCGATGAAACTAGCGTTAGCGTGGCTATCGAGCAAGTTTTATCGGAATTACAGAGTATTTCTTCACTGAAAGAAGAGCAAAACACTGCTCTGGAGGCTTTTCTCAGAGGAAAAGATGTTTTTGCTCTTCTACGGACTGGTTTCTGCAAGAGTTTGATCTATCAATTGGCTCCTCTTCGTCGTCGCTCTGTTAGTACGTCATATGCTTCGTTGATCTGATTGGTTTATTTGGCCCCTCAATCACCAACATAGGCCAATCAGCCAACCAGTATTTTCGCCCCTTCCCAAAATTACTTCAACGGAAGGTTCTGGCGGAGTCAGGTTATAACAGGTGAGGACGATTCAGAATACAGACAGTGGACACGGAAATTTCAGAAATTCCAGTTACACCTAATCAGTCTTTTTTTTTTTTTTTTTTTTTTGTAAAATAAAATGTTGTTTTATATATAGATTTTTTTTTTTTGCATTATTTTGTGTCTGCGTGGGTTCTGGCCTTAGGACTTTCTCACAGACCCCATTTTGGACCCAAATATTTTCTTTTTGTAGAGTCATGAACTCTATCTTTAACCAAGTAAGTATAGAACACAGAGCTTTAAATGTTCTCCAGTGACCTCCTGGACAGGGGTGGATTTAGGAAATTTGGCAAAGACAGGCAGGGGGCCCTCTGAATTTAGAAGACAACACATAAAACAGACCCATTCTACAGACAGAGAAATGTTAATAGAATAGACATCTATTATCTGTTCTAGGTTCTGTCCCTCTCTTCTTGTCTCTTTTCTTCTTGTTTTCCTCTCTATGTTTTGTACTCAGCTGACTTTTCATGCTGTCTCTAAAGGAATGAAAGATTTTTTCCAAGCATTAAGCTCACTTAGCTGATTGCTCCTTCCTGTGTTTCCAAAAAGGCCAAAGTAAATAACCCAGTCCTTCTTTTCACTGTAGACAAGCCATGATCTGCTTATCTGTTCTCCATTTTTCATTTGGATGAAATAATAGCTGCATGAATCATGACAGCAGACAAGATAGAGGAGAGCAGGAGGCGGGGTTACCAATCTACTCGCTCTGGAGAGCAGAGTTCGCTGCTTTTAGATGTTGTCTCCAAAGTCTCCAGTAGCAGAAAAAAGTCGCTAGATTTGGCGCTAGACGCTTTTTAGAAATCAAAGTGCTAGAGGGGTCTGAAAAGTGGCTAAATATAGCGACTAAAGCGCCAAGTTGGCATCACTGCTCTTTGCATGGTTTGTTTCCAAATGGTTTGCTGCTGTCTGTTTGGACCTTTCTGAACATGTGCAGCAAATGGACTGATCCAATATGGTGGACACTGAAAGGGGGGGATGAGACACACTTAATATTATCAGCGTTCTGATGGGATTTTAGCCAAAGGATTTTTTTATCAAAAACATAATTAATGTGCACAAATAAGGAATAGTCGAATTAACCATACATATAAACAGAGTTTTATGGGGCCCCTAGGCAACTACCTGGGTATTGCCTAATGCTAAAACTGCACCTGTTCCTGGATGATGAAGTAATTCACCTTGGGCTGTAACGAACGACTATTTTGCAAATCGTATAATCTGTAAATATTTTTTTTGATCAATTGATTAATCGAATAGCCAAAGGTTCCTCAAAGAAGATTTTATTAATTTAAAACAGGCGAAACTAAAACTTTTCCACTTAAGTAGTTCTAGATAAAGCATATTGACAGCCGAAAAAGTTTTTTTTATCTTAAATTCAAAAGGTTTAACATTTTTTTATTGATTACAAAATGAGTTGACGATTAGTTTGATAATTGATTAATCACAATTCATCTGATTAATTGTTTTAGCCTTAAATTCATATTTTTTCATTCAGGTTATCAGGTGATCTGAGTTATTTAAATGAGAAAAACCAACCAAACCAAAGGAGATAAACTCTTATTTCAGCACAGTAGGTGATGATATCCCCCAGATTTAGATCACTTTAAAACAATGTCTTCATAACAGCCTGTTTGTAGATTCAACCACCTTGTTAAAATCTCTTCCAGCATCTGTGTTTCATCACAGAGCTTCACTCTGCTTTATAGCATGTTTATCCATGCTGCCTTCACTCCCTGAAACCAACCTGCAAATTCCCCAGGCCTCAGAGTTTTTAGGAAATAACAAGGCGGTGAAGGGAAATTATTGAATAATTCAAGGTAGGAAAATATAAATCAGTGCATCAATTACTCTGTTAGAAGAAACAATGAACAAACTCAACCCCAGGAAGCAACACGTTTGAGTTGAACAGAAACATGTTGGAGCTTTAGACAGATGTGCTGAGGTTGGTCTGGGAAAGCTCTCAGTAAACGCTAAAGCCTTCAGGGGCTGAAACCATTCACTCACTACGACAGTTACCTGCTCATTAGGACCCTTTTTCTCTCCGTTCACAGCCTTTAGCAGCACGGCATCCTCAGTCTTTGGGTTGTTCTTCATCTCCACTACGATGTCGTCTTTGGTGTGCTTCTCTTTGGTGCTGCTCGGACAAACAGAAAACGTGAGAACAGAGGAGCTGATTATGTGGAACATTGGTATTTTTTAAACTTAAAGGAATAGTACACCCAAAACATGATTAGCCTTCATTTTCTACTCACCCCCATGCTGAACAACACTCTGGAGTACTTTTTTGATATCTCAAATGCATCTGGAGATCTGGGAGGCTTCTTGCTGTCTGCTGACATTCAAATAATGGAGGTCTATGGCGCCCGAGGCAGAAAGGTCCATAAAAGTCCACAAAAAACGTGTCAATATTCCTCCATACTGCTCGTCCAATGTATTCCAAGTGTCCTGAGTAGGTAGCATCCAGAATTTACTCGAAACGAAGTCATTTAGAATGTTTTTAGAGCCTAAACAGTAGTGTATAGGATTTCCTAAAAGCGCGTTCACGAGTCTACGGAAACCGCGGCAGACCAAACCAGATGAAAGTGCGCATTCAGCTCGGCAAAGAACTCATGCTCTTCCTCAACACTGAAGTCCTCAGACATTTTTCTTTCGTTGTTTCTTTCTTTACACAGGTAAACAGCACATTTCTTCTTCTACGCTTGCATTATCAGCAGAGCAGACGCTGAATGCGCACTTTCATCTGGTTTGGTCTGCCGCGGTTTCGTAGACTCGTGAACGCGCTTTTAGGAAATCCTATACACTACTGTTTAGGCTCTAAAAACATTCTAAATGACTTCGTTTCGAGTAAATTCTGGATGCTACCTACTCAGGACACTTGGAATACATTGGACGAGCAGTATGGAGGAATATTGACACGTTTTTTGTGGACTTTTATGGACCTTTCTGCCTCGGGCGCCATGGACCTCCATTATTTGAATGTCAGCAGACAGCAAGAAGCCTCCCAGATCTCCAGATGCATTTGAGATATCAAAAAAGTACTCCAGAGTGTTGTTCAGCATGGGGGTGAGTAGAAAATGAAGGCTAATCATGTTTTGGGTGTACTATTCCTTTAATGTGTCTAAATATCACTTTCAGGTTTCACTGTTTTGTATTTTTTTTTAATTTGTTTGGTTTTGTTTCCGGGGATGCTCAGTGGAACAGTGGGTAGCTGTTCCACTGCTGGCTTTCAGCAAGAAGGTTACGGGTTCGATCTTCTACATGGAGTTTGCATGTTCTCCCTGAGCATGCCTGGGTTCTCTCCGGGTACTCTGGCTTCCTCCCACAGTCCAAAAACATGACTGTTAGGTTCATTTGCTTCTCTAAATTCCCCTTAGGTGTGAGTGTGTGTGGGAATGGTTGTTTGTCCTGTTTGTCTCTGTGTTGCCCTGCGATGGACTGGCGGTGGACCGGGTGGATCCAGCCTCTCGCCTGTAGCACCAGCACCCCTCACCAGCCCAAGTGGGATAAGCGTGGTGGAAAATGGATGGATGGTTTTATTTCCAGAATCACAATAAACATCTAAGAATCTGAAAAGCAAAAATGATGGTGTACTCATATGGTGATGGCGACAGATAACGGATTCGTCTTTATTCGAATCGTTGGAGCTCAGTGCCTCATTTTGATCAGTAGAATCTACGGGTGGAACGGTTCACAAAATCCACGGTTCGATTCGGTATATGTTGATTGTTACCCCAAAATCCCATAAAAATTAATGAAATTAATGAAAAAATCCCAAAAAATGTATGAATTGTAATTATTTTTTAATGATCCGCAGAAACCCTGGATCATTTCCGTATGTTTTGCTGCTTTAAATTTAATCATCTGGCGCATGCTCTCTACCATCTCCAAGGAACTCAGAGGGGAGCGGACGGGAGCCACAGCGGAGGCTGTAGGCTTTGCTTTGTGCAGCCGGTCTGGAGCGCAGCGGGGCGGAGCGCTGACGGAGTATGTGGGATTTTGGGGTTAGCATGACATGTTGGTCATGTTGCTGTTAGCATAAACAAAATGTGTTGCACAATGCTTGCACACTGTTGCACTTTTATCCACAACTTTCTTTTCGTCATCGTAGGTCACTCTAAATGCAAAGTGGTCCCATACAGCAGACCTATAAAGTGCTGCTGGCGCGTCTTCCAACTCCTGTTCTTTCCCACTCGCCATACCCACACAATTCTCCACAACAACTGATTTTTTTCTGCTACACCCGGCTACGCTGCTTCGCTTCTTCTTCTTCTTGTTTACTACTGGCGGTTGGCTTTGGTCGCAGTACCGCCACCTTCTGCTCTGGAGTGGAAACGCTTCGCCTATGAGAAGAAGGAGCAGCGCATGAACCGAACGCAACACACCCGAACCAAACCGAGACAGTCAAACCGAACGGTTCGGACGGTTTTAATAAACTGTTCCGTCTCGAGTAGAATCATAATATTGTGTTACAAAAATCTGCATGCACCCAGGGAACAGCAATAGGCTGGTTTACATACAGTTTGTCAGACTCCAGTTTGCTCTAGTTTACCATAACTTTGCGCTCTCGCTCTGAGAAGGTTGCAACTACCTGGTCCGAATCCCACTGCCTGCACTCTGGGTTCCACTCTGAGCAAGACCCTTAACCGCACACCGCTCCCTGGGTGCTGCACAATGGCAGCCCACTGCTCCCCAAGGGGATGGGTTAAATGCAGAGGTAAATTTCTCCAATGTGAGATCAATAAAGTTCAATTATTCTTATCTTTATCAGGGCTGCCGATGAATTTTGTTTTAGGAAAATACTAAATGGCCATTTCCATCATAGATTACTTATAATTTCCACCTTATTGTTTTTTTGTCACCTTAAATTTCCTTATTCCGCCTAAACCTGGTTACCCAGACTAGATTATAATACAGAAATATTACTCCAAGCTGTTTTTGAAACCTTAATTTAAGGATAAAGAATGATTTTTGTGCCTTTTTTTATCTGAACCACATTAAAACTGGTCCAGCTAAACCTGGACTATATTATTGTACTCGAAAAGAAATATTTCAAGCCATAAGGTGTGAAAAATACATCATATTGTTAAATATTAATTATCTGCTGTAACAGCATTGTTTGATCAGATATCAAAATTGGCCCGAATATTGAATATTGCCCACTGAGCAGCCCAATGTTAGTTAATAAAATGTTTAAAAAAAAGATGTTTTTTTTTATAATCCAGGATTCCTTGTGGAACGCCACATTTCTATGCATTCACTTTAAAAGTGTTGCTTAACTTTATTTGAGTTTTAAGGAAAAATGTTTGTCTGGATGCACTACAGACAAAAAAGAAGTTAAAAAGTTTTGCTGTACTTACATCTCCTGTTTGCCTGAACGTCCACAGGGGATCTTTCCCTTCTTATGCAGGAAGTAGAGAACACTTCCCAGGATGGCGAGCAGCAGCAAACACAGAATGATCACCACTATGATCACCCCACTGCCTTCCACTGCACAGACAGAGGCAGACATCAGCTGTTAGAGGGACAAAGACTGAACCTCATGGATTTTATTTGCCTCAATAAGCAGAATCAGATCATTTATTATGTTTTTACTCATTTTTACACAACATATTTTAACAGGCCAAGTGCTCCAACTGAACTCAAACGTTCGGAAATAAACGGCACATTAAAGATTTGTTTAGAATATATTACATGTTAAAGCTCCTACTCAAAATATTAGCATGTTTTGATAAAAGTTAATTAATTTCCATAATGTAATGATAAAACTTAAACATTCATATATTTAAGATTCATTGCACACTAACTGAAATATTTCAGGTCTTTTATTATTAGTAATAAAATAAAAAATAATTCAAACGGATGATTTTGGCGTACAGCTCTTGAAAACGCAAAATTCCTATCTCACAAAATGAGCATATCATGAATAAGGTCTCTAAACAAGCTTTGCACCTAATCATCTGACTCAGTAAATTAACTGAATTATTTTACATGCAGTTCTTCATATATACGCACACTCAGACAGATGGTAGCGGTATGGATACTGCACAGCCAGGTATCGGGTATCGGCCAAAAAATGGCATCGGAGCAACATTAGTTTTTACCATACTTATTGTTTTAGAATTATGGTTTAAAAACCTAATCCACAACCATTCTCATTCACATTTTCCCCTAAATTTTCACGTTATGATAAGTGTTTACATTATTTATTGGCTGCATCTAAAATACGAAAGATACTTTCAGTTTAAACATAGATATGAAATAATACAATATAGCCTACAGTAATGTAATTTACTGTACTAGGCAGGGGCGTTTCTGGGACCAGAGGTTTAGGGGTGCCCAGCACCCAGAGAGCTGTCTGCCCAGATTCATTTCACTGTTTTCTATTCATATTTCTGAAACTTATTCAGTGCGTTTTGTTAATGACTGACTCCATCATTCACTAACGCATCGTATCTGAGACGTGAGCCAAAAACCTAACAAGCAAAGCAAAGAGCTGCACTTTTTTAGAAGAATATTCAAACCACTTAAAGCAGTGGTCCCCAAACTACGGCCCGCGGGCCAGATCCGGCCCACCTCCACACTTGGTCCGGCCCCCTGAACAATACCAGAGAGTATTTTCATATAATTGTTTTTTTTTTTTTTGTATTTGATTTTAAAGTTGGACATTTGCAATAAAATGTTCCTTAATTATGAAGTTTTTTCATTATTAACTATTAGTAACTATTTCATTTCATACATATAACGCAACAATGTTCCACACTTTTGGGGTCTGTGCCCCTATCTGGCAACCCCCAGCATAAAATCTTAAACCCGCCCCTCTCAAAGAGCTACGGAAGAGGATTAGGGCCATTCAAAAGAAATAAAAATAATAGTCTCTTCAACTCTGACTTTATTCTCAGAATTCTGAGGAAAAAGTCAGAATTCTGACTTTAATGAAGAAAAAAAAGTCAGAATTGAATAGTTTTTTTTCTCTTTTGAATGGCCCTAATACTCTTCCGTAAAGAGTGAACGGAATAATGGCGAAAAGATGATTCAGAATGCAGGGCATTTAACCTGAATTGGACAAACAATATTTTTTTTGTTCAATGTAAAGAAAAGGCTGTCTGTGTCATCTGTCAAGAAGCGGTGGCGGTATTCAAAGAATATAACCTGCGGAGACACTATGACTCCCGTCATAAAGACATAAATTCCGTCATAAATTTAGGCACTCTTGCAATCGTCACAATTTTTCTGTTACAAACTGACCCCGGCCCCCCATCAAAGAAGGGAAAAGTTATTTGGCCCTCACAGGAAAAAGTTTGGGGACCCCTGACTTAAGCTTTTAAATCAACTCTTTTCAACCTTTGAAACAGTTTTCATGAAATGAGTTTTCTCTCCTGTGTGCCAAAATGACTTCCATGATACACTCCTGATCAAAATCTTAAGACCAGTCAAAAAATTGCAAGAATTAGCATTTTGCACCATTGGATCTTAAGAAGGTTCTAATTAGAGCTTCACAATGTTAAAAGAAAAAAATCAGTCCAAGAGACAAGAACTTTTGAGCGGGGAATTTTCTGAAAACTGCATTTACACTCAAACATTATTTTTTCAGCTAATCAAAAGCTTAAGACCATCGTCTTTAAAAGCCAAAAGCTGTGCAAAAATCTGGATTCCATGTCGTTTTCTGTCAAGTCTTAAGATTTTGATCAGGAGTGTATATGTAAAATTGGTTCTGCTGGAGGTTTCTTCCTGTTCAAAGGGAGTTTTTCCTCTCCACTGTCGCTACAAGCATGCTTAGTGTGAGGGATTGTATTTGAGTCAATGAGTCGATGCAATCAACTGGTTTTCCTTAGATAGAAAACTTTGTATCAATTTGACTGTATGATCTGGTTGAACTGTAAAGTGCATTGAGATGACATGTGTTGTGAATTTGGCACTATATAAATAAACTGAATTGAATTGAAATGAAATTAAAATAATCGACTGAATGAAATGTTTTTCTTTGCCAGTTGCTGTTTGGCCCGCTACTATTCTGTCAGACCACATTTACACATAGTATTTAGAGAAAAAAATATCCCCCCCTCTGTTTTCAATAATAACATTGTGCACAAAACATTGTTTTAAAAAAACTTGTAATTTACATCAACCCATATAAATACGCTTTTGGGTGCCATAATAAACTGTAAACATCAGTGTAACAGTCTTGGTTCTGTTAAGTTTTCTTTGAGTATTCAGTTTTACTTTCCTCCATATTTTCTAGTTTTATTGGTTTAATTCCTATTTTGTTGTGTTTTCTGGATATATTTGAGTTCTTAGGTTTTTCTTTGTTGCCCTCTTTTGTAGGTCTCCGTTTCCCTAGCTTCCTTCTAGAATCCTCTCTTCACACCTGCTCCCAATCGGCTCATTAGTCCTGTCTTTGTTCAGTCTCCCATAAAAACTCTCCCCAGAAAATAACCAACGTACACTGAGAGGATCGAAAGCAGCTAGGCGCCTGAACCTCAGGGTCAAGCCAAAGATAAGACAAACTATACTTTCCTACAGCTTTTGCTAACAAATAGACGATTATTGTTAAACATCCGTGCTTTCTAAATAAAAGGTATAATAGATACAATTCTTTCAGATTTGAGTTCTGGGGCGAACATCTTTTCTATTGTCATTACTTACCTACTTTTATCAAACAGTCATTCTGCATAAAATTGATATTTACAAGTACTAATATCTACATAAATTGATTATTTAATAAACTTTTAACGAAATAGTTATTTATCTATGATTTCACTGAAGACTCCTGGATGACTTGCAGAGACCCATCATTTTCTCTTTACCCCATAAAACACAAAATCTAGTTCTGAAAAGAGCATGAATTCTGTACTTATCATCTTTAATGTTAGTTAATTTATGTGCATATTTAACCAGTGTTTTTGTTGTCAAGTAATTATGAATATATGAAAAAATAGTAAGTAATGTATGAAAAATTCAAATGGTTTTAATATTTCATTTGAGACTATTACTGCTGCTACCATCTGTATTACAGGGGGGGGAAATGGTAGGGATGGCAAATGATTGGCTAAGGGTGGCCATGGCTACCCCGGCCCCCATCTAACTCCGCCCCTGAGGGTAAAAGGTCATTAAATCGATTCAGTTTACTCTGTCAAATTTTGGCTTTCAACTGGAAAGTAAAATGTTTCCCAAACCTTTCCTTATCAATCTTTTATTTTGTTGGCCAAATTTCACCAAAATTTCTAAATAAAAAAAACGGACTTTAAAGCTCATTTAATAGAAGTCAAACAATATTTTCATACAATTCATCTTTCTTCTCATCAGAAAGCTCAAAAAACCATAAGAATCTGTTCCCAACTAGAAATTCTAGACAACTTAATGTTGTAGAAGATATATTTATTTGTATAATACATACACATATATATATATATGACACTCCCCAGCGCATATGTTTGTATAATTGCATGTTTTTTTCTCCTAACTGTACTTGTTTATTATGACATACCCCCTGGCATATTTATTTTTTTGTTTGTTATTTGTTTATATATTGTTGTGTGACTTTAAGTGAAATAAAAAAAATAAATAAAAAATCTGTCAGATAAACTGCCTGTAGTGTCTTTAAAGGTCCAGCAGGTGTCAGTATTCTATGAGACAGTATCAACGCAGCATCAACACTGCAAAAAATCTATACAAGTGTAATAAACTTGAATTAAGCATTTTGGTTAATGTATTTCGCTTAATTCTGTGACATTTTTGCTAAAATATTAATAAAAAAACGTTTTGAAGTTTTTAATTCTAGCTAAGAAAAACCGACTAGTTTTAAGCCTTTAAATTAACTGGTATCAAGTACATTTGCCTTGTTTTTAAGCCCGTTGTTTGCTTGTTTTGAGCAATAATTGGTTAGAGGACATTTAATTCTAAGCAATAATGACTAATAAATGAGAATAAACTGCTTAAAATAAGATAAAAAATCTTAACAAGTAAAAGAAGAAATAGCTTTTTCTACTTACGGTAAGTTTTTTTGGATGCTTACTACTTGGATATTATGTTCTTGTTTTAAGAAATCTTAGCAAGTCTCATTTGCTTGCTGCACTGGCAGATTATTTTTGCTCAAAATACGCAATTATTCACTTAAAACACTATATTTTTTTCTTATTTTTTAGAAGGCATTTTTTGTTGTGAATACAGTTTGGCAATGAGTCGAAACACATCAAGATGCCTGAATAACCATAACTACTCGGCCCTAATCCAGACTTTATCAAGGAGCTTTATATGGAGGAAATTATTTTAAAAGCAGAAGAGGAAAAAATAAGTTTTGCTTTTGCAGCAAAAGCCTCAAATCAGCCTCTTTCTGCAGACTGCCTTAACCGTTAAAGTAAAACCTGACAAGAAGATCATACATTCCTTATAAGCTTTAACAGTCTTCAGCTAGTCGATAAACCATCCTCTGTTTTTTATAATTGGATTAATTTCTAGATATTTTTTCTTCCCAAAAAGTGAGAAACACATTAATAGATTTTATTGCAGTGTTGATGGAGTAATTCATTCTGACTCCACTGGTTTATTACCACTGTAAACTGGAAGGAAAGCTGTAAATTCTTTGGAGCATTTGAGTTTAGATTTTACAGATTTTCCTCTGTTCTTTTTATTTATGAGTCTCCGTGTTTTCCCCAGAGTTCTGCAAAGATTTAACGATGAAAAATTTACAGCCCAGATTAAGTCCGAAAACTGCCCGATAATTATGTCCCACTCAAAGATGAAGAGTAAATTAAACTGGAAAGTAAACCCTACCATAAAAAAAGGATTAATGTCTGGATGTTTTTTTTTTATCCACTTTGATTATTTTTGTTTACTTAAAAAAATTCTGAGATAAACAAATAATATTTCACCGCCGCAGCGCGTTTGATCTGAAGGACCGCCTGTGCCTGGATTTGCTGGTGTTAAGATTTTTTTTTTCCACATTAAAATCAAACAGAATATTAAATAAGAGCCAAAGGCTAACCTAAAGATCTGCATGCAAGCTAAAGGCAGGCACGGAGTGGAAGGCCTGTAAATAATGCATGGCCTTCTCTCCGTGCCTTCATTGTCACATACAGATGCTGGTGAAAAAACGTGAATGGTGAAACAGAAGACAGCATTTGAGGTGAATGGCATCAGCAAAAAGAGACTGCAGGACGGTAATGGTCTTACCAGGAGAGAAGGGAGCTGTGCGGGTGACCCTGGGAACTGTGGACAAGTAGAACAACACTTAGAGTGGGAAGAAGTCAATTCCTACTAACATTTATCTGACATAAAAACACAAATACTCAGCTTTTAATTGATGTGAGTCATGAATCCTCCAATAACAAGTGCAAAGGTACATTTTAAGACCAAAATACCTTTTTTCCAGTCAGTGACCATACCTTACTAAGAGTCAACAGGCTGAGCTAACAATAGTACTCTTTACACTGAAAAAACGATCTAAAAATAAGTAAAAATTCCTTATATTAAGTGTATTTACCCTTAATTTGAGTTTGTAAATGAGGTAGTTTGCATACAGAATGAGTATTTTTACTCTTAAAATAAGATAATTAGATAACATACACTTTAGATAAGACAATTTAATTGTGTTTTCTTATTTTAAATGTAAATTGTCTTGTTCCGTTGGCAAATTGTCTCTTTTACCTCCCTCCAAGAAAAAATGCATTTATTTTAAGAAAAAATGACTTATCTAGATTTTAATTTTTTCCAATGTAGTGTGAAATAGTGCCCTGGTTTCTTTTCAGAAGTGAATTTCATCATCGTTCTATCGTGGGATCTTCTGGGGGGGGTCTGTTGAGCAGCCCAGATCTTATTGACTGACTGACTGACTCTGGCATTCATAGGCACCAAACACAGCAGATGAACGAATGATAAACAGATTCCTATGCAAACAGTTTAATTAATATCCTGCTCAGAAACCGCGGCAGACCAAACCAGAGGAAAGTGCGCATTCAGCTCGGCAAAGAACTCATGCTCTTCCTCAACACTGAAGTCCTCAGACATTTTTCTTTCGTTGTTTCTTTCTTTGCACAGGTAAACGGCACATTTCTTCTTCTACGCTTGCATTATCGGCAGAGCAGACGCTGAATGCGCACTTTCATCTGGTTTGGTCTGCCGCGGTTTCGTAGACTCCTGAACGCGCTTTCAGGAAATCCTATACACTACTGTTTATGCTCTAAAAACATTCTAAATGACTTCATTTCCAGTAAATTCTGGATGCTACCCACTCAGGACACTTGGAATACATTGGACGAGCAGTATGGAGGAATATTGACACGTTTTTTGTGGACTTTTATGGACCTTTCTGCCTCGGGCGCCATAGACCTCCATTATTTGAATGTCAGCAGACAGCAAGAAGCCTCCCAGATCTCCAGATGCATTTGAGATATCAAAAAAATACTCCAGAGTGTTGTTCAGCATGGGGGTGAGTAGAAAATGAAGGCTAATCATGTTTTGGGTGTACTATTCCTTTAAGTATTTATTTCTTCTTCTCTGAGCACACTGTATAAACTAGATCAGGGGTAACCAATTAAAAATCAGTGGGGTCCAAATAAAAGAAAATCATCAACCAGTAAAGGTCTGGAGACATTTTTAATTATAATCTGTTACTTTAAACAGAATTTAACACTGAAATAAAATGCAGTCGTTTAAGCATCCATGTTATACATTGACTTAAAAAAACAAACATCTAAAGTGTTTTTTTTTTTAAATAGAGAACAACAATTGTTCAGTTTGGTATAAATACAATTTCCTGATTCACATATTTTATTTTATACAACACCTGAACTGACTGTTTGTTATTTTTCTTCTTTTTTCTGTCTTAATGTTGGCAGTGGGCTTTAGGCTGCCCTGCAAGGCTTTAAACCTGGGTTTAACCAGAGACTAAGCCATTCTCAAGCACATATCAAGGAGCTCATTTTGAGCCTGGATCCAGATTTATTGTTGATTCTGTTCATGGTGGAGAATCCTGCTTCACAGCAGCAGGTTGAGCCAAACATCCTCTAAATGTGCAGGGTCATCTTTGAGCACGCCATTTCACTTTTCTTTCACCAGTTCACCGCAGTTCTTCCAGCAGTCCACACTTTCTCTGCTCTCTTTTTCTCATCGTCTTCTCCTTCTTTCCCATCGCCCTGCTTGCCACAGGTTTGCCTGCTGTGTCTAAAAGTAGCAGCAGCAGCAGCAACCCAGACTGACAGCTCATTGGCTCATTTGGATCACGTGCAGCCTGGAGCCGGACGCTCCGGATGGCTTTACCGTATTAAGAGAAGAAGCGGCGCCAGTGAAATTAGACACAGCCATCAGACAACATGCTGTAATTTATAAATGTTTTAAATAAGGTCGGGTCTAGATTAGCCAGCAGGTGGGTCCGAATGCATAATCCGTGACCTCTGACCTGGAATATGATCGCCCCTAACAGCCAGCATAAAAAACTAGTCCACTTTGAGCTTAACATGCTATGAACACCACCTGCTAATATGTGCAGGTCCTGATGGTCTTAGCGGGTAGCCGTCACGGCCAGGTAGATGTAGGCAAAGGCCTTACAGGAATGTTAAAGCCCCATAATATAGTTTAATGGTAGTTCTACCTACAACCACTAGATGGTGTACATGTGTTTCTTTATGCCTATGAATCCTGTACCCTAATGTAAGGAACTTTCTGTTGAAAAAGGCAAAAAAAAAAAAGGTTTGCTATTCAAAAAATAAGAGAAGATGTTTCTCTCCAGAACATGAGGATCAGTCTGCTGATAATGATTTATTTTCCTTATATTGAACATTAGTTGGGTTCATTGTCAATGTAATGCAACTTTGGCCACTGGGAAAACAATCTAGAAATAGGCAGTGACGTGCGGTCAGGGGAGGCAGGTGAGGCAGTGCCTCACCAGCCATCATGGAAAGAAAGAAAATATATAATCATAAAGTAATTTAAATTGTTATATTCATCCGGTGGTTTGTACTAAAAAATATTCATTTTTCATGTAGCTTCACCAATTTCGATTTTTATTTGTTCAAAATCGCTGAATTTTCTTATTTTCCCATTCAAATGCTTGGAAGCGATGCCGGTGAGGCAGCAGCGAGCTCTGCCTCACCTTGGATTGCGCAACCCCTGGCTCTGCGCTGGCTGCAAAGCGGAGAGAGCATGTTGCTGTACGGCGTCAATAAAATGGTTTAAACAAATGTAATATGTGAACTTATTTCTAATAATTTGGCTTATGTATATAATGTACAGAGCTTTTTGTCACCAACTGTGTTTGTGTAACGTGTTTCGTGTAATGAGCGATTATAAACGGCAGAGAACAAGTTCGAGGTGAGGCAGGCAGTTCTCTTGCCTCATGGCAGGGGGTGCTCAAGAGACTGAAAACATAAGGCAGGAACAGGACGGATCAAGGAAGGCTTTCTTCCCTGGCAGTGATCTCCATTGAGACAGAGAGACTTTTAAAACTGAAGGAAGATAAGGAGGACTTCTATTCATTTATAAGTAAAGGTAAGACAGTAATAACATTTATTTTGTTTTGTTTTTTAAGGAAATGTGTGTTTTGTGAGCTACAGTTTGTATGTGTAAGGATGCAGAAGTGAAACATAACCTGTAAACTGCTGTCAATCTATGCATCTATTTGCAAATCTGATTCTGATGACGTCAGTGCCTCACCAGCTATGAACCTCACCGCACGTCACTGGAAATAGGTAAACATTTCTTGAATCAAGTGTATTTACCCTTAATTTCAGTAGGTAAATGAGGTAGTTTGCCAATGGAATGAGTATTTTTACTCTTAAAATAACATAATATTCACTTGAAATAAGACAATTGAATTTTTTTTTCTTATTTTAAGTGTAAATTGTCTTTTTCCATTGGCAAAATGTCTCTTTTACCTCCTCAATCCAAGAACAAATTCACTTATTTTAAGATATAATGATTTATCTAGATTTAAATTTTTTCCAGTGCTGCCTCTGGCACAGGACTCTCTTGAAAGAAAGATTTTATAATCTCAACGGGACTTTCCTGTTTAAATAAAAATTTAAAAATGAAGTAAAGAGGAACTGCTGTCAGACGAGATTAAAAGATCCCAGGAGTATGGAGAGCAGCAACTTCATTTGTTTTTCCAAGATGTTGTAGGGTGACAACATAGCTGCATGTATAGTTTAATTGATTAATTATTGTAATTCTTTACTATCAGGAAGTCCACAAACTAGTTAAAAGCCTTCAGCTGATCCAAAATACTGCAGCAAGAGTTCTGATGAAAATTAAAAAGAGAGATCATATCTCTCCTATCCTGGATTCTCTTCATTGGCTTCCTGTTAAATCCAGAATAGAATTTAAAATCCTCCTTCTCACATATAAAGCCTAAATGTCCAAGCTGCAACTACGAAAAATTAAATCTAAATAAGTATTTTTTTCTTAAAATAAGTGATTTTTCTTCTTGAATTGAGGAGGAAAGTGAGACACTTTGCCAGTGGAACAAGACAACTTACATTTGAAATAACAAAAAAAACAATTGCATTGTCTTATTTTAAGTGCATATTGTCTAATTATCTTATTTTAAGAGGAAACATATTCATTCTATTGGCAAACCATACCCTTAAATTAAGTCTCTACAGTTATGCTGCTATAGGCTTAGACTGCAGGAGGACATAGAGACTCCTTTTCATCATTTTGTTTTATTAACTTTAATTCTACAGTTCTATTATCTTTTCTTTTTCTTATCATAATAACCTCATATGGCCTGGTTTTGTTTGGCCATGACAACTTCAATTACAGATGACAGAGTTGGGCCTGCTTTTCAGTGCTTAGTCCTGTTTCTCTCTTAGACATAGCTTAGCTTTAATTGTGACTAACTGTAGGTGTTCTAAATAATATTAAAAATAATACATTCTGATCTGAAAGGATAAATCAAACAGGTTTATAAACACAGATGAAAAAAAAAGATGCTTACTGGCTTTGATGCTGAAAACCTTGACTTCAGTTCCCATGTCGTTGGACGCGTTACAGACAGCGCTGACGTCCGAGCTGACCTTGACGGACACTGTGCTGTGAGTCATGTGGTCGTTTGATTTGCTCATCACTTCGTCCCAGTGCTACAAAGAGACAGAGGTTTTCATTTGTGCAGGGCATCAACTCGAAAGTTAACAAAGTTTGAAAAGACTTTCTTGCCTCTTTTCTCTTAAACTATTTCCAGAGTATCTTTCATTTTAATCCTTTAATGCTAATATGCTGCTTCATATAAAAAAAACAACCATGTTTGTCTTTATTCAGTGCTTTCTTTCTTAATAGCATTATTTTAAATCGTGAAATAAGAAAACACCAGGATAAAGCTTTTCTTTAGGAATAATTAAAATAAAAAGGTTCAGAATTCAAAATACAATAAAAAAGATGTATGTAAAAATGTGGGACATGCGGCAGGAACCTAATCATATAAATGAGAACTAAAATCAACCCAAACTGTTGGAATCTGGAATTCATGTCCAATCAGAGATGTCCTGCAGGACCTTTAATGGTTTTATCAGAGGTACTGTTGCCTCTAAGTTGAGTTAAAAAAGGATCAGACGTGAGCCAGACTTCTATGGAGGATAAAAAGTGCCAAAATTAAATAAATAAATACAGCATTAAATAAATAAATGTGTCATTCATTAATTAAAACCACGTCACTATTATAAAGTGCAAAAAGTAAATAAATAAATACAGCGATAAACAATTAATTAAATGTGTAATTCATTAAATAAATAAGGAATTAAATATATAAATGTGTCATTAACTTAATAAAATACGTCTTCATTTTATTAAAAAAATATATATAATTATTTCAGTGTGCATTTAATTATTTCATGGTCCTGTGTCGCAGTGCATCGAAACCATTAAAAGATTCTGTCAAACTCACCCATCAAAGTTAGAGGGCGGTTATTTAACACCTGATTGGTCACCCTGCACATTAAGGCGAAGCAAATCGATTACAGAGTCTCGATTCGCGTTAACCCCGCCCCCTAACTTTGATGGGTGAGTTTGACAGATTCTTTTAATGGTTTCGATGCGCTGCGACACAGGACCATGAAATAATTAAATGCACACTAAAATAATTATATATATATTTTTAAATAAAATTAAGACATATTTCATTAAATTAATGACACATTTATATATTTATTTAATGAATTACACATTTAATTAATTGTTTATTGCTGTATTTATTTATTTAATTGTGGCACTTTATATTAGTGACGTGGTTTTAATTAATAAATGACACATTTATTTATTTAATTCCACATTTAATTTATTATTGACACATTTAATTATTTATTTAATGCTGTATTTATTTATTTAATTTTGGCACTTTTTATCCTCCATAGACTCCAAGTATGGGTTGCTGGATAGAAAACAACAGGGGCGTATTTTTGTGTCTGATGCCGTCAAGTTTACTGTTTAGTCCATAACTAAAGACATGGTGTTTGGTGATAAACACTTAAGGTGGTTCCAACCTTTAATGTGCAGAAAAAGACACAAGATTCCTTCCTTTTTTTCAGATTCACGTTTAAAGCTTTCTCAATTAATTGCTGACCTACTTTGAAAGTCATTAAAAGGAAAATAAAATCAGACTCGCTCGTCTGATGGATTTAAATTGTAGTCGTAATCAAGATAATGGGATGATAAGCAAGCGAAGAAACAAACGAAGATAAATTAAAGAAATTAACATCTAGAAATAAGATTAGCAACACAGATGACTGTTATAGGCTTCCTCCGTGATTTCATTATTAGGGATGGATGAAAACATGGAACAAATAATGAAATAAAATGCTGGACACTTGATTTTATTAGTATTTTTCTATTGTTAGGAAAAATAGGAATATTTTTTGTCACAAAAAGACTTGTTAAACCCTAAAATACTAAGGCTGGTAAATATATTAGCCTTGTATACTTAATTAATTTTATTCTTTACTACCCTTGCTATAATGCAACCGCATATACTTAATTATGTTTAGTAAACTGAACATAATTAGTTAATGTCCTACCCAACTAAACAGGAAACAATTGTTTTAAATGGACAAAATATGATAAGGTAGATGCTAAAAATGGTCGCTTTTTTTTTATTATATAAAAGGTATAAATTCTAATGTTTTATTTCTGCCTCAGGAGTCAAATTGAATCATGTCACAAGATTAGTAAAAGAGAATAGAAGATACAAGGTGGCCAATTTAATGTCTAGCAGAGAGAAAAAAAAAATTGGATTTTCATAGCAGACAGGACGAATTCCCATTCTTTTGAATTTGACAAAATCAAAAATCATAATCATTTTGTTCTTAGATAATGCTTATGCCTGCACCAAAGGCCCTTAAATTAGCCTAAATAATGAAAAACCGTCATATTTTTTAGGGGTTAGGGTATAGAATTTTGCTAAAACTTCTAAAAAAAAGTTGACTTACAAAGTTGGAAATAATACCATTTAAAAGCTAATAAAATTCTCCACTAGTCACGTAAAAACATATACAATTTGTTTTATTTACATATATTTGTACATTACATATTTTAAATCAGAATCAGAAATACTTTAATAATCCCAGGGGGAAATCACTTTAAATACCCGTAAAACAGAAAAGTTCATTTTTATTAATAATAATAATAATTAATTTAATTTATACTGCACTTTTCACCAAAAAGGCCTCAAATTGCTACAAAAAAGCATTAAAAAAGAAATACATAGAAATAAAATAAATAAAAAAATATATATAAAATGAAATAAAAAATATTAAATAAAATTATAAAAGCTGTTTTAAAAGAGAAAAAAGAAACATCTAAGGGGGACCAAAAGTTTTGCTAAAAAGAAATGTTTTAAGTTCTTTTTTAAAACACTCAGTGGACTGAGGTGCCCTCAAGTTGTCAGGGAGGGAATTCCACAGATGTGAGGCAGCAGCACAAAATGCTCTATCTCCCATTGTCAATTTTTCTTGATTAAAGATTGTTATTAATTAAAAACTTCATCATCTAGAAATCAACTCTGATTAAAATAAAGTTATTTTCTGGGTTTATACTTTGTACAAAGACTTTTTTTTTTCTTTACTCGTGTTGCATCCATTAAGCTACGTAAATCGCAAATTTTGGGTGTACGGTAAAACATTTAACTATTGATGTTTATGCAATAGCCATGCAAAGACGGCAGTAACACTAGAATAGACCTTTCGGCTAGACGTGTGTGTGTATATATAATGATAAAAAGTGTTATTAAAAAGAGTGATAACTGGGAATAAGTCATGAGCGCCTCCAGGGAGCAGTAGCCTGAATTGCACCTTGATCCTGTTGATATTAGAGAGGAGGCTAACTCAGATACCTGGCTGCCGATGATGCTCCAGGAGATCCTAGGTGGAGGATGTCCATGAGCCTCACAGCTCAGGTTCACCGTCCTGCCTGCCACTTCCGCCAGCTGGACCTCCTCCTCTACTCCCACCACCTGAGGACCACCTAGAAGAAGATATTCATTTCAAAATATTTCACCAAACTCTTTGTAATTGGCTATAAAAAGCATGTCAGTCAGCAGCTTTTGGGTTCCAGTGACATCACTGTAACATTAGAAAGGTAGGAGCAGCACAGGGCGGCTGACTGACTGACCTTGGACGATGATGTGAACTGAGCCACTGGTGTTCAGGGAGGGCAGGGAGGGAACAATCACGCTGCAAACGTACTCCCCACTAGTTTCAAAGGTGGCGTCGTCCAGGTGCAGCGTGTTACCATGACCCACAACCTCTCCGTCCTACAAAACCCAGTCCAAATTTAGTAAGCACACACTGCAAAAATGATTTAGAAATAAGTAAACATTTACCCTTAATTATAGTAGGTTAATGAGATGATCTGCCAATGGAATGATTATTTTTACTCTTAAAATAAGATAATTAGATAATATGCACTTGAAATAAGACAATGCAATTGCTTTTTCTTATTTTAAATGTAAATTGTCTTGTTCCATTGGCAAAGAGTCTCACTTACCTCCTCAATTCAAGAAAAAATGCACTTATTTTAAGAAAAAATGACTTATTTAGATTTCAATTTTTGCAGTGCAATCAGTCACTCTACATCACATTAAGCTGAAAACATTTTTAAACATTTCATCAACTCAACTAAAAATGAGAAACTGGTATACAGTCATTGCATAACAACTAATCTGGGTTTTTATTTCTGTTATTATTGATGATTGTGGCCCACAGCTAAACCAGAGCCATTTAGTTTATTACAACATAAAAGGAAGGTTTTTATTCATTAAATCTCATGTTATAGTAATATGATTGCATACACAACCTTGCAGAACAATACTGACTTGTAAGTTGCTTATGATTTAAATCTATATCTATATGTAAATTAGTTGAAGTTGTCTTAGGGCGCTGTCACACCTCGCCCATTTAGCCAGCGTATGCCTGACGACCCAGAATCTTCTAAAATGCTGGCATACGCTGAACTTTCAATGTATTTTTTCGGATTTTGGGCAAATACATAGAGTATTCCTAATGAGTCCACTTTCGTCCAATGACAGCCTAACTTATGCATAACGCAGGGCAGCGTAACGCCCATTAAATGATGCATAAGCATCAGTTAAAGCTGATCCCCTCCTGAGAGGAGCAGCAATGCGCCCGGAGGCTTCCAGCCTGCATAAAAAGCTTTGTTTATTTTTCCTTTCCTGTTCTACTTACACTGTAGTGTCCATATAATCTGTAATACTCCCTACATTATCATGATAAAGCTATTTATATGCATAAATCAAGCGGAACACTATGGCGATAGCCGTACTGCTCCACTTGTGAAAGCAAAATCTGTTACGCTCTTTTTTTGGCATCAAGACAATTTTTCTTATTGCCACATTGCCAGACAGGACACTGTTAAAAAAAAAATTCTTTGATCGCAGTATTAACCTAGCTGCAGAATTTTCGCATGTCAGATATACACTGGTCTAAATCGTTAAGGTGTGACAGCAGCCTTAGTGGATGCACAGCCAACCATTTCTGCTATTAAATGACTCGTCTTTGCAAAGCGTACCTTGTACCAGACTGTTACGGTTTTCAGGGAGGACAGGGCGTTGCAGGATGCTACCAGATCTTCCCCTGTGAGCATAACCTCTGAGTCTTTAGGAATCACAACTGCTGGGTCCAAGTCTGAAACAGGAGAAGCAAAAACAATAACATAACTTATATGGTCACCAATTGCTCTACGTTTTCTTCTTGAGAACACTTCCATCTCTATCATTAGCAGTGGCGCCACTAGGGGGTGGCCAAGGCATTGCACAGGGTGGCCACTGCTAATGATAGAGATGGACCCCCTGCGCAATAGCCTCGTGAGACCATCCTGATCTGCGAGCTTTCAAGGTTTCACTCGCTAATCAGTCTGGAGACTCTCCATTGAAGAAAATTTGGAGCCGTTCACCAAACGAACGTCCAATCAGCGTTGGCTTTGAGGCAGGTTGAGGTGTGACGCAACGAGAAGCGCGACAGTTCAGTCTGAAGAACATGGCGGCTTCAGCCGATGAAACTAGCGTTAGCGTGGCTATCGAGCAAGTTTTATCGGAATTACAGAGTATTTCTTCACTGAAAGAAGAGCAAAACACTGCTCTGGAGGCTTTTCTCAGAGGAAAAGATGTTTTTGCTCTTCTCCCGACTGGTTTCGGCAAGAGTAGCCTGGCTTGTGGTTGTGTTTTCGTCGTCGCTCTGTTAGTACGTCATATGCTTCGTTGATCTGATTGGTTTATTTGGCCCGTCTATCACCAACATAGGCCAATCAGCTAACCAGTATTTTCGCCCCTTCCCAAAATTACTTCAACGGAAGGTTTCCAGATGGATATGCGGAGCAAAAGGCGGAGTCAGGTAACCTGTGCAATGCCATGGCCACCAAACTTGCTAGGGTAAATTGCATTAGCAGTATAGCATTTCATCCCATTATGCAGCCAGTGATGGAACATTAAAAATCGCACAATAAATAAAGATCTGAGTAGGTGTTTACTAAAGTCTTTATGATTTCTACAGGCAGTTTTACCACAATAGTAGATTCAAACCCTTAAATGACGGCTTTCAGTTTCAGTGTGCCACCCCAAGATGTTTAGAGGCCCCATCTGGTCACCCCTTTAAAACATTTCCCGAGGCGCCACTGATCATTAGTGATTAGTTAGCATGTCGAGGAGCATTATTAGTTAAAGTTCTTATGCCTCGAGTTTTTTCCCATGAGAAAATCTGAAAATTGTATCATTAAACTCCTTCACTCTAAGAGAGAAACCCAAAATTAAGTCCAATAATCAGCATTTGGAAATCCCCTAAACAGTAAACCATGATCCCCTGCATGTAATGCAATGCATGAGCTACAGTCATGGAGAAAGGCATAAGAAATGCTCATGCATTAGGCTAAAATAGAACATAACCTCTGGATAAACTGTTTAGCAGAAAGCTAGTACCCAACTAGCTGGAGGTTTTTCCTCTCCACTGTCGCTACAAGCATGCTTAGTGTGAGGGATTGCCTGCCAGTCATTGAGTCGATGCAATCAACTGGTTTTCCTTACATAGAAAACTTTGAATCAATCTGACCGGATGATCTGGTGAACTGGAAAGTGCCTTGAGATGACGTGTTGTGAATTGGTGCTATAGAAATAAACTAAATTGAATTGAACTTGACAAAAACTAAATCCAATATTGATAAATGACTTCATCCCTCCCATTTGACCAAGTTTGAACTCCTTTAAAAGTAAGAATTTGAAAATGTTCAGTGTCTAGATAGTCAAGCCAGAACTCCTTAAAAATACCTGCAGTATAAATGTTATATATTTATTTGCACTTCCGATCTGATGGTCCTTGTCTTAAAAGAAAACATAACTTAAGTGAAATCTATTGTTGAAACTAGGGATGCACGATATTGGGATTTTGGCCGATATCCGATATGCCGATATTTTAAAAATCATGTAGCTGATAACCGATATCGATACTGATGTTAAAGCTGAAAAAATAAAAAAATTCAGTCATTGAAAATAGCAGTTTTGTTATCCATTTCTGACACTTTGAAAAATAATATACTGAAATATATTTTCATATGCTGATATCAAATAAATTTTTAAAAACGCGGTATCGATCTATTTTACTTTCAAAATCTCGTGAAATTTCATCGCTCTGTTACAAACTCTCGTGATATTTTGCAAATTCTTGTGAGATTTTGTTAGTAAAATAGATCGATGCCGCATCAGTATATCAACATATAAAAATATGGCAACATTTTGTGAATTTTCGGGGGATTTCGTAGCATAACGATGACATATAGCAATATTTCATTAGTAAAAGAGATTGATATGGTGTTTTTAAATGGCAATATATCAGCATAGGAAGATATTGTGATATTTTAATGTATCAATATTTTTTCCCTCGTCTTTAGAAGTTTTTAAGTCTGTAAAAAATAAGTATTTGAGGAAGAAGAAGAAGTAGTATTTTTTTTTTCTTTTCTCAGACTTTAGAAGCTGATCAAATATCGGGTTAAATATCGGTGGGGTGGCCGATGTCCGATATTCAGTTTTAAGGCCGATACCGATAGGGGGCCGATTATATCGTACATCCCTAGTTGAAACTTAGATTAAACTTAGACATTTTGTGCAGGTATGAATTCATTTGTTACACCTCTTCCATCCAAGTCTAGCATAAAAGGTTGAACTTTAAAGGATATAAACACTACAGAATCATTGATTCTAGTGTATGAGCTTGTATGATCTTCCAACGTACAATGCACAGTGAGCTGGACCTCTCCTTTCACAGCTTGTCCAACGGAGTCCAGCGGCCGACACTGGTAGATGCCGCTGTCTTTCCGAGACACAGTGGGCAGCATCAACACATCACCTCTGCTCTCCAACACCACATCTGGCTCCTAGAAAACAACCAAACACATTAGTTATCATCAGGATAAATGTTGGTGCAACAAAATAAAATTAAGACATTATTCATAAAACAAATTCTCTGAAAATGTTTTGCAGACTGTGAACCTTCCTGATTGCCGTAATTTTCTCACGAAACAGAAGCAAATCTATGTATTTTATTTCTATCAAGAAAGAAAGCATAAATAAACAAAGCTGTGAATATAATAGTTTCCTTCTTGACCTTTTGTTCCACCTACTGTCATCTTTACTGATTGCTGATGTTATTGTTTCCCAGAAAGGAAGGAATGACGAAATTAGTAAGCATCTCAATTTGAACAAAGCTAACAGTATAGCAAACTGCTGTTTCCTATTACAGTAAATGGTCTTGATGCAAAAAGGTCTTTTAAGAGTCTAAATATTATGCGGTTTTCAGGAGCTTGTTCCCTTTGTAGTCCGTGACACCTGAATTAGTCTCTTGCGTCATGTTTTGAACAACCAGTAACACGGCTGTCGACACACTGATTAGGAAACGCTCAGACAGCAGTCAGCTGAGGCTTTGTGTTCTCCAAAGACACAATGAATGTGTGTCTGACATGGGAACGCGCCCCACTCATACGCCCCGTCGATGTGGCCTCCGGTCTCAGACCCCAGTCTGGATCTGCAGGGTCAGAGCTGACAAGAGTCCTCATAGACCCTCCACACTCATGTCTGCACGGGACCCTGAGAGCTCTGCATATCAAAAACATTCTCTGCATGTCTCTTGTGTGTCACTCATTCTCTGTCGGGGTCTCGTAGGGCGAGAAAAGTCGCTCCATTCTTACTTGTTCCTTGCTGAAAATGAAGAGCGGCGGGGGGTTGCCATCACCCTGGCAACGTAGCTCCACTGTATCCCCCTCTTTGACCAAGCCCTTGGGCGACTCCTTCCACAGCTCCACCATGGTGGTGGGGTCTGCACACACACACACACACACACACACACACACACACACACACACACACACACACACACACACACACACACACACACACACACACACACACACACACACACACACACACACACACACACACACACAAAGAAATCAACTAAATTAGGCAGGCTTATTCAGCATGCTGGTATAGTCACTTTACAAGGTCATTTCCATAATGCTGACGGCACAGACTCAGCTTAGCTCTATGCGAATCTGTTCCAACAATAACCAGAGGAAGCAAGAGGAGATGGTGCAGCTGGAAAAACCTGAAGAAGGTATTTTTACACACTTCAACGTTTCTTTTTTCAGCCAGCACTGCAGGTTGGGTTTATTGGCAAACGATCAGCTGTTTATAATAAACATAAACAAATGAATTAGCTCAACACATTCAATGTTACAGGCTGCTTCTCCAAAATTAACACTAAAACACTTTTATTCACTGCTGTCTTAAAATGATTCAGTCCCTTCTTTAACTGTTACGACCTGCTGTTTAAAGTAATAGTACACCCAAAACATGATTAGCCTTCATTTTCTACTCACCCCCATGCTGAACAACACTCTGGAGTACTTTTTTGATATCTCAAATGCATCTGGAGATCTGGGAGGCTTCTTGCTGTCTGCTGACATTCAAATAATGGAGGTGCCCAGCGCCCGAGGCAGAACGGTTTATAAAAGTCCACAAAAAACGTTTCAATATTCCTCCATACTGCTCGTCCAATGTATTCCAAGTGTCCTGAGTGGGTAGCGTCCATAATTTACTCGAAACGAAGTCATTTAGAATGTTTTTAGAGCATAAACAGTAGTGTATAGGATTTCCTGAAAGCGCGTTCACGAGTCTACGGAAACCGGCAGACCAAACCAGATGAAAGTGCGCATTCAGCTCGGCAAAGAACTCATGCTCTTCCTCAACACTGAAGTCCTCAGACATTTTTCTTTCGTTGTTTCTTTCTTTGCACAGGTAAACAGCACATTTCTTCTTCTACGCTTGCATTATCGGCAGAGCAGATGCTGAATGCGCACTTTCATCTGGTTTGGTCTGCCGGCTTCCGTAGCGTCGTGATCGCGCATGTGCGCGCTTTCAGGTAATCCTATACACTACTGTTTATGCTCTAAAAACATTCTAAATGACTTCGTTTCGAGTAAATTCTGGATGCTACCCACTCAGGACACTTGGAATACATTGGACGACCAGTATGGAGGAATATTGACACGTTTTTTGTGGACTTTTATGGACCTTTCTGCCTCGGGCACCATAGACCTCCATTATTTGAATGTCAGCAGACAGCAAGAAGCCTCCCAGATCTCCAGATGCATTTGAGATATCAAAAAAGTACTCCAGAGTGTTGTTCAGCATGGGGTGAGTAGAAAATGAAGGCTAATCATGTTTTGGGTGTACTATTCCTTTAAGTTCAGTATCTGGTTCTAAGACAGTGACAGTCTTTGCATCAATCCAGGAGACCTGCAGATATCCCAGGATGCAATTTCCAATGCACAGAGATGGGAAGTAACGAAGTACAAATACTTCGTTACTGTACTCAAGTACATTTTTCTGATATTTTTACTTTACTTTACTACTTATTTTTATGGCGACTTTTTACTTCTACTCCTTACATTTTTACACAGATATCTGTACTTTCTACTCCTTACATTTTAAAAAATTGGCTCGTTACTTTAGTTTTGAATCATTTCAATGGAGTTACCGTTATTATTTTTCACCTCATCAATACCAAATTCAATCTACGTTGCATTTGACGCACCACTACAAGATGAATCGACAGATTCGGCGGTATTCATTGGCGGCAAATCATTGCAGCTTGGTGGCGGTGGCGTTAGCATAGTAGCATGGACGACGAGATGATTGAAAATGAACACAACGGAGATCTAGTCCTATTGGCAGACATCCATTTAAAATGTAGGCAACGGCATGAAAAAAGTGGTTTCTACTTTTACTTTTATACTTTAAGTACATTTACAAGCCTGTACTTTGTTACTTTTACTTGAGTAAAGAAGTTTAATCAGTACTTCCACTTTTACCAGATTATTTTTTAACACACGTATCTGTACTTTTACTCAAGTATGGAAAGTGAGTACTTTTGCCATCTCTGCCAATGCACAGTTAATGGAATAACTGATACTAGTTTGCCTGGATTGTTTATATGCGTCTCTAAGGCATAATATTTGTCTTTAATTATCACTATTTTTTTCTCTCTTGGTACGTTACATTCTGAGATGATGAATTTATTGTGCAAGATTGATGGAAAATCTTATTAAATATTCAAATTACAAGCAAACAAACAAAAAACAAACCGACAAATCAGGAAGAGATTACCCTCTGACAAACTTGACCAACATTTTATTCATTATTATTGGCTTAAAATCTGAACTTTAACCTCTGCTCAGAACATTTTCCCCCAAACTGTGGATTTATTGGCTTTAGTCTTTACAATGTGGGTGTTTTATGAATATTCCACTCACAATCTGCAAGTTCGGCTACATTAACGTCTTTTACAGCCGAATGAGAAACAATAAACTCCCTCCAAGACGTGAAAGAAGAAGAATGGTTTGATGTGGAAATATTTAAATGAGCAACATAACTGCAGACAATACAGAACAGAAAGGGAACTGTTTATCTGACAGCGAAGGAAGGCGGCACAGAGCTGAACTAATTAAAGAGTTGTCGGGCAATTATAGCGACTAAACTCTGAGACAAATACAGTCAAGAAGAGAGGTGAGACGGATACAATTAGAGTTTAATTAGTGACTTACTGCTCTACTACAGACGTGGAAGAGCTGTTTTTAAACTCACAGTGAACGGTGACGTTGATTCGGTGGGACTCCATCACTCTGATGTCTCCCGGGACGGAAAAGCTGACCTCACAGAAGAAACGGGAGTCCTTGTCCTGCTTGGCCAGCTTGTACTCCAGGGTGCTCTGAACAGAGTAGAAACCTGTGGACTCCCGGGTCACCAAGGTGATCACGTTAACCTCTGGAATGTGGAACAAAAAAAGCAAAGAATCGTGTAAAATTGAGTGTTAAATCAAAATTCATCTACACTAGAAAAACAGAAATAGCATTGTGCTGGTGTGAGCTTCATCACTTAAAGGTATAGAGGACGATCTTTTATTTCCGGATGGATCATCTATATAAGTGGTCCTCCTTACTGTCAATCATTCTGATATGTTTACATAAGGCTGTCCTACGTGCTCGTCCCGTTAGCTATCTTTTTCTGTGTATTTTCAGACGTATATCTGTGGTGAGCTACGGGTTCAGACAGTCATTGAAGCTCACCTTTCACCCCTCGGTTCTTTGAAAATGGCCGAGGGCTGTAAGAGAAAACATGTCTATGAACGGTATGAGAAGAAAAGAAAGGCCACAGAAGAGGCAGATATATCTCAGAAAGCAGGGATCAAAGCGTTTATTTTCAAGCCATGCCAGGGGGGTGTGGGGGCATGGTATCAGGGGTTGCATGAATGATTGAAGACTAAATTTAACTTTTGACCGAAAACAGCCAGAAGATGGAAAAAGTGCATCTATATGTACCTGTCAGGGGCAGTCCTGATTAGACAAATGTCACTTGTATTACCTTGTCTTTGTCTACTTTTCTCTCTCATTTTAGGCAGCTTCACTTCCTGAGTTCCTTCCTGCAATCAGGACCTGCCACAGCCTAATGCAATTCACCTGGAGTATGTGCTTCTCTTTTGTTCGTTAGAGTATTTAGTTCCCACCCTTGCAGCTTCCCTTTGCCAGTTTGTCTTTGTTCTTTTAGCTTAGCCTTCCAGCCTTTTGCCTGTTAGACTTTAGCTTTCTAGTGTTTTGACCCCAGCTTTGATTTGCCTCCATATTTGATACCTCTGTTTCTGCTGGATGTTTGGTGTTCAACTCAGGACTGTATTAAAGGAGCTTTGAGTTTGAATCCAGTGTGTCAGGTCTTGCTTTTGAGTCCTTTATTCCTGAGCCTTGTGGCAGTACTGTACCACTTGCATGAACCACATTTCTTTTGATATCCAGTTTTGCTGCTAAGTGTTCCTGGAGCCCAGCGTGCAGAAGCAAGCGCCTGGTTCATCTAACTTCCTGCACCAGCTGCTAAATAACTCGCCATCCCGCCCTGTCATTTATTTTTGAGACCTTTATCTGTGGTCATGACATCTTCCCCAGAGTTCATGACCTGCATTGTGCCCACTCCATTTAATTCAGTTCTGTCTATCGTTCTTTTCTCCAAACATAAAGTTTCATTAATTTATTTTTTGACTTTTTACATGTCTCTCCTTTGAATGGAGCCTTAAACGACGCGAGGTGACTCTCCGCGTAGAACTTCAGCACTGTACCGCAATCTATCTGGTGACTTGAGCAAGAAACGAGAGGAGGAAGTTCACGTTTTCCTAAGACCCGCCCCCTTCTTCTTCTGATTGGGTAACACTATTAATTTCAGAGTGTTCCTTTGCCACCATTGACTGACAAATGCAAAAGGGATTTCAATTGTCTTTTTTTTTCCATTTTTTTACCGTCAAATAATTTTCTAGTGATTTTTTTTAACCACGGGCAATCGCTATCAGCTGGAGATCCGGCCTGGGGCTGGAGTACTTTAATCCCTGAGAATGGCTTGTGGGGAGAGCTCTCATTGCAAAGCATTATGGGATTTGCTGTCAAAGCGGCCCGCTGTCGCCATAGGCTACTAATAACAAAGATGGCGCAGGCACCGCGTGGTGCAGGAGGAGTTACGTCACCAACAGAGCAAAAAGCAGGGATCATATGTCCGAATGGTAAGTTAACTGAGTTTGCTATAAACTCAGTTAACTCAGTTAACACTGTATGTGGACACAGTAAGCTTGTATGAGCTATGAAAATAACACATTTTAAACAGTGCATGTACGAGGAGAAACGGGCTCGTGCATGCTCTTCCATGTGCAGTTTTTTTCAAAGTGGCGAGGGCAGGTCTTTTAAAAAGTCCTCCGCAATACCTTTAAAGTTGGAAGAGCAAAATTCCTTCTTTGTAGAGGGCAGATTTGTTGTTTAGTAGGAGGTACTGAACCATTTGAGGCACAATTTCGTATAAAATCTCTTCGTAATCTCGAGGACACAAACAGAAAAAACTTACGTCCTGCTGTCGGCGTCAGTGGCTCGTTGTCCTTATACCAGGTGATGTTGGGTTTAGGATAACCATTTCGAGCCTCACATGATGCCACCTGCAGGGGTTTATGTAAAGCTTTAATTATCTAAATTTTCGCTCTTGTACCAGGGCTTTGCAAAGTTTCCCATTCCCTGAATCTTTTCACATGTTGTTAAAGCCTCTAACTACGGAAGAGGATTAGGGCCACTGAAAAAAAAAAAAAAAAAGTTAGCTGATTTTTTAATTTTATTTCAGTTTAACATGGGAAAGAAAGTCAGAATTCTGACTTTTTTCTCAAAATTCTGACTGAATTCTGACAATAAAAAATTCAGAATTCTGAGAAAAAAGTCAGAATTCTGACTTTTTTCTCAGAATTCTGAATTTTTTTCTATACTATGCTGAAATAAAATTAAAAAATCAGTTAACTTTTTTTTTATTTTTCAAGGGCCCTAATCCTCTTCCGTATCTAACCTTTTTGTTGGTTCAACTAATATTATGGACCAACACAATGTAGTGCTAAACTCTGATGAGGAAAAAAATATATAGATTTGGTTGTAAAGTGGAAAAAATGTAAAATAAATAAATAAACTTATATTTTAACATAGTAACGGTGTATCTTAAGGGGCGACCAACCTTAGATGGTATGATGTTGCTCACAGAAACTCCAGTAGTGACGCCTTCAATGACTGGAGCTTCAGGAGGAGCTGAATTAGGAACAGGAGATAATTAGTAAATTATAGCAGTTTCATTTTAAACAGATTTGTTAGATCATTGTTTAGCCTTATTTATGTGCCGACTGACCGAAAACTCTGAGCTGAGTCTTTCGCTCAGCATACCCAGCAGCCAACCCGTTAACCTGGCAGAAGAACTCCTTCTCGTCGGAAAGCTGGACGTTTTGAATTAAGAGTGTGGTTCCTTTCTGGTCTGAAGTCACTTCGATGCGTCCGCTGTAGTCTGTGTTGTTGTCGACTATTTGCTCACTGTCATCACTGTAGAAGATCCGCATCCGTGGACCACTTCCTGCAGCTCTCTGCAGAGAAAACCCCATGACATCTTAGGTTAGCAGGTAAACAATGAGAAGTGTTTGACATAAAATATTAATCAAAGAGGATCAAATGCATCAATCACAAGGAGTGTATGGAGTCATTGGATTCAGGGGCGGATTTAGGAAATTTGGGGCCCCAGGCTAAGACAGAAGTAAGAAGACAACACATTAAACAGACCCATTATACAGATAGAGAAATGTTATTAGAATAGACATCCATTATCTGTTCTATGTTTTGTTCTAAAAGATTTCCTGATTGGTCAAACCGATGCTAAAGAATAACTTCACATGATGCTCTACATTCCTCACTTTAGGGAAGAAAGTTCTTCTTGTAAGAGTTGTCATAAAATACCAGTTGTTTCTCGCAATATTAGGACTTTATGAGAAGCTCAAACATCCAGAAGAGTCTTAGTGTAAATCCGCTTCTCCCCCACATCAAGAGGATGTTTCAAACGCCCCCTGGAGGCCTCCCTCTGGAACTGTCCCGGGACGTTACTCTGGGAGGAGGCCAGCATAACAACCCAAAACAGGATAGAGCAACTCTGTCTCTCGGCTGGTCCAGGAACGCCTTAAAGTCTGGTTATCCTCCTGTGTGTCGCAGTGAGCTTGTCGCAGATATTTTTGATTTATGCTCAATATTGAAGAGTGATCTGCGCTATGTTATTCCACGCCACAACCCAAGAGGACCAATCAGGAACTAGCTGTGGGTCTAGATACAGCCGAGGCAGTGAGGAAGTGGGGGCAAGTTTGTGCGACAACAGAGGGACATGAGGGCCAAAAAGAGCGGGGATCCAGGTGAGAAAAGGGTCCCAGCGTTCTTCTGCACCTCCCTCTTCTAGCTGGTCAATTTTCCCGAGTCGTTTTCCACAATGGCGGTCATACAAACAAAACAAGCCGGTAAGGTACCAAACAGGAAATACGCATAGTGTAGAGAGGATGTTGATTTGACCAATCAGAGGCCTCCTGTCTGCGACACTGTCTGTGGTCACCTACAATTTTGGAGAGGTCATTTTTTGTTCAAGATTTTGTTTAAAACAGCTCTAGACAATTTCATTAAGTGCAGCCTTGAAAACAGTAATAAATAAAGGTGCAGCGGAGTGTCTGCGGAGGGGGCGGTGACGTCTCTGCATTCACTGCGACTCACACGCAGACCACCTGGTTTCAGAGTATAAACCAGCCTTTAAGCTTCCTCCTCAGGAGCTGGAGGAGGTTTCTGGGTAGAGGGACGTCTCTGAGACTGCTGCCCCAGTGACCCAGTCCTAAATACCCAGAATGCAATAAGCACAAGGACTTAACCTGCAGTTCTACATGTAATATAACTATGAAATAAACCTTTATGTTTAGAATGAAGGAAACAGACATTCCATGCATTAACGGTCAGTTACAGATTGGATGTTTTTTAATCACCAAGGATTTCACCTTCCACACACATTTTGTTTTGTGTGTTTACTGTGGTTTTCTGTTGTCTCCTTTTTTATTTAGTTTTCTTGTCTGTTTTCTGTCCCTCTTGTCTCATACAGGTGTGAAAGCAGACTTCTAGGACTTCCTGTTAAGGGTGCCCCGATCAGGATTTTTGGGGCCGATCACCGATTGCTGAAAGCAGTATTGGTTGATACCGATCACCGGTGACCGATCACTGGGTCTATCTGAAGCCTTCTATTTATCATGTCATATATTCAATTTTAATAGTCTTAACAAAAATGTATAGGTATTAAAATGAACAGAAGATAATTTATTGTGAATTGTCAACTGTATACTTTTATTAACAGGAAACGTTCAACATTTGACTTCCTTAGAAACATCTTAAACAGCTTAGAGCTTAACAAATAAGCCATACTTCTAAATAAGATACAAAAAATCTGTCATTGTTAATTTACACAAACTTAAAGCTGAAGTCTGTAAGTTTTTAAAAATCACTTTTTTGTCATATTGGCTAAAACTGTCCCTATGCCCAGACAGCAGCACATGTGATATGTAACCTGTGAAAAAAACTGCTTCAATTGGTACCGCCTACTGCCTGTATTTCAATCTGGAAAGAATAATTCGGGACGAGTCAAAACAACCAATCACAGCCAGAGGAGCGTCTGATGGAGTGTCAATCACAGCTCACACACGCTGAATCCCCCCCCTTCTGGTCGCATGCGGTAGCCGCGCAGATGCTGTGAGAGGGGTGGAGCTTGGAGGTGGGGCATGAGTGAAGCAGAGAGGGGGGGGGAGTGATGTGAAACCTGTTTTTCTTCAAATTTTCAGTCGAAGTCTGCTCTCCCCTCAATGTTACAGACTGCAGCTTTAAAGTGCAGAGCAAAGAAAACAAAATCAAATGTTTTGGGATGCCATGATAAAAAGGCATAAGGTATGTATTTTAGGCTTGTCCTGCGGTAATTAACTGAAAATAGAAGCCAAGATGGAACAGTCACACATCTTTAGATAATATATCAATAATTCTGGCTTTTTGTCCTAGCTCAAAATCTAAAATGTCCTAATCACTGCAGACATTTTTCAGTAGTAATAAAGTTTTGTAAATTTCAAACAAATGCTAACTTTAAATGTTCTTTTAGCTCCTTTAAATCTACATACATTTAAAGTGCACAGCATGGAAAACATGAGTCAATGAGAAAGAAAGAAGAGGAATAGAGATTAGTAAAGCCATTTCTCTTAAAGCTTACTTGTTAAGCATCAATGGCAGATTTTCTTTAGAAATATAAGCATCTCTGCATTTTTGGCAGACAGCTTGTTCCTCTTCTCATCTACAATATTCCCTGCTGTGCTAAAAAGTTGCTCACTATCTACACTTGTGCACGGAGCACAGAGGTAGGCGTGGGCTGCTTGTGCGAGAGCGGGGACACGACTTTTATTGTCTCGCCAAAAAACAAGCGGCTGTCCGCTCCGTGGGATGACTGGCTCTGATAGGTAGAGGTTCATCTGCGATGATGTTGAGCTGCTGATGTCACCGCCACCATGTTCCCCGTCCTTATCCAACAACTCAGCATACATAGCGTGTAAGGAGCCAGCTCGTGGTACTTTCTCTGGGGGCTCGGTGCCAGTCGCTTCCAAACTTGCCTCACCACAAGAAAACGGACCGTGTTCTTCTTCTTCCCCACTTCCAGTCGCATACCGATGCAGAGCAACTACAGCGCCCCTAGAGGAATCGGATGAGTGAATTCAACAAGTAGTGCGTCTCATCGGCCCATCTGATCGGCCTTTATAGAAACCGCCGATCAAACTATTTAAAGCCTTTATCGGCCGATAACGATCAGTGACGGATCAATCGGAGCACCCTTACTTCCTGTATATTTTCTGTGGTCTATTTTTGCTTTTTTGTTTTATTTTCTCTCTTTTCATGCACTTTTTCCTATCTCTATCTCTTTCTCTCCCCCCTTAATTCTTATACCCTCTTTCTTTCTCACCTCCCTTTCTGTCTCTTTCCCTTTCATATAGAAGTACCAAGCAGAACCTTATAATAAGAATAATGTTCTGTTTGTGAAAGCAAATCTGTTGGGCTATCATCTAGCTCTGGGACGTAGATTCCCAGAGCTATATTGGCATAAAAGATCACATATGCACATATGTAAAAAAAAAAAAAACAGGTCGATCCAGGTTTACATTGCCAGTTTTCGGCTTTACTTACCACAAACCACTGAATCATGACGAAGCTGGGCTCTTCATCCAAACCATAGAAGCTGTAATGACAGGGGATCTCTGCCGAGTCACCAAGGTACACCTCCAGGTTGTCATTCATAGTCAGTTCCACTTTGCCCCACACTGAAAGACACATTGAAATGCACATAAATCAACTGCATAAAAAGCAACACTAATTTAAACGTCCATTTCGTAGCAACTGTTCCCTCCGAGTAGTTTTGACCTTTAGTTTGAATTCCCGATGCAGTGGGCTTGGCAGATCACAGTCTGCTCAAGCCGATCTGGAGACGCGTTGGCACAAAGAAAGAAGAAAAGAGCTTCTTGTCCACTTGGCATCATTTTCATCTTCCTTCTGCCTGACTGACTGTAACCACAAAACCACATCTTGGCCAGAAATATCCGTTCCCTTGGCATCATTCTGGGAATGCAGGCAAAGGAAGGCAGCCCAGTTTGACACTGGGCTGTTGATTCAGAGCGCCAAAAGCTTTTTTCAGCCATGTTGAACTTGGCAGCTGCTCTAGAGGTCCATTCACATGGTGACAAATAATAAAAAAAAAGGATGACACCAAAAACAGGCATTTTTTTCTGTTTAATCTGGTTTTAGAGAAGAGTAAAGAACCTTTTTTTTTCTCCCAGGTTCCCACATTGCTGCTGTCGGGTGCTTTGTTATGTTCACTGTAGTGTGACTTAATTTCCTTAAGTCATTAGCTGGTGGGATTCTGTTCTCACGTACAGTTTAGAAATCCACATGCAATCATTATATACATGACTTCCATTGGTTTTCTGGTTTTAGCCACTTATTCAAAGCAGTTCTGTTTGAAAGCTGGTATAAATAGAAACGTATAGCTAGATTGACATGAAAAAGGACTGGGTGTAGAAATTTGTTAAAGTTCATTTTCTCCAACTCACAAAGTCAAAATTGTACAAACATGCTAAGATATAAATAAATCCCTCTTAACAAAAAACAAAAGATTATTTTTATTATTCAGGTGTTTAAAAAAGATTCAGTTATAAATAATTATTTAGATTAATTCCAGCTCTTATTTCTCTAATTTTTGAATGATTATACCTTACAGCAAATAAAAAGTCAAAATGTTTTTTCTCAGAAAGCGAATATTACACAGAAAATAATAGTAATAGACATTACATTATACATTACATCTATGGCACTATGCAACAGTATAGAAATAAGGAATTCTGTTGTAATAGCTGCATAATTCAAGGGTGAACTGCTAAATTAACTAGTGGTGAGTATCAGCATGGGTGTTGCAATGCGATATGTATTGCGGTATTTTGTTCACAATGCAATATTATTGCGATATTGAAATATATAGTAGGGGTGGAATGGTTCACAAAATCCACGGTTCGGTTTGGTTCACGGTTTCATGGTCACAGTTTTCGGTTCGGTTCAGTATATGTTGATTGTTATCCCGAAATCCCATAAAAATTAATGAAATTAATGAAGAAAATCCCAAAAAATGAATTAATCATAATTATAATTTTTTTGATCTGCAGAAACCCTGGATCATTTCCGCATGTTTTGCTGCTTTGAATTTAATCATCTGGCGCATGCCCTCTACCATCTCCAAGGAAATCAGAGCGGAGCGGACGGGAGCCACAGTGGAGGCTGTAGGCTTTGCTTTGTGCAGCCGGTCTGGAGCGCAGCGGGGCGCTGATGGAGTATGTGGGATTTCGGGGTTAGCATGACATGTTGGTCGGGTTGCTGTTAGCATAAACAAAACGTGTTGCACAATTAGGGTTGGGAATTGAAAAGATTTTCACGATTCCAATTCCGTTTTCGATTCTATGAAACGATTTGATTCTTTATCGATTCTTTTTTCGATTCCAATTTGGGGGGAAATAGAGAACAAACAGTTTGATTATCAGAATCAACTTTGTTTACTTAACTATTGCAAAATCTTACAAACTCAACAAGATCAAGATGTCCACAGGAAATGTGAAACTGGAGTAACATCTGTGTTTAAATGAAAAATGAATACAAGAACAAACTTAATAACCAACAATGTCTAATAACAAATGATGGGATAATAACCTATTTTAAATAACAAAAAATACTAATTATAAAACAGTAGTAGGGAAAATTAACAGTTCTTTTGCAGAAAGATGAGCATATCTGCTTTTTCTGGAAGGATAAGGGATCTTTCAGCGCTTATGGTGTCTCCAGCCGTGGAGAACACCCTCTCAGATGGGATGGAGGAAGCCTGCACACAGAGGTAGTTTTCAGCCAGTCCAGATAGCAAGGGCAGCGTATCTTGCTTGTTCCACGACCACAGTGTGGCGCTATCCCTGCAGGGGATGGAGGGCAAGCTTTTATAGAGCTGGATTTCCTGATCTACCCTCTGGGCTAAGGAAAGACGGGGCTTTGATTCACAAAGTGACCGCAGCTCGTTGTCTTCCTCCTCGAATAGTTCTTCCAACTTGCGTAACTTGCGTAAATTGCGTAAGTTACGTAAAAAAACGTGACGTAAGTCGTGCTCCCCAGAGCCGGCGCTCTAGGCTCTGGTGCTGCGGAATCGAAAAAATAATCGTTCAGCGAGCTGCCAAACGATGCCATGGAATCGGAAAATACGGAACCGGTTCTTAACAGGAACCGGTTTTCGATTCCCATCCCTATGCACAATGCTTGCACACTGTTGCACTTTTATCCACAACTTTCTTCCCGCCGTCATCGTATGTCACTCTAAATGCAAAGTGGTCCCATACAGCAGACCTATAAAGTGCTGCTGGCGCGTCTCCCAACTCTTTCCCACTCGCCATACCCACACAATTCTCCACAACAACTGATTTTTTTCTGCTACACCCGGCTACGCTGCTTCGCTTCTTCTTCTTCTTGTTTACTACTGGTGGTTGGCTTTGGTCGCAGTACCGCCACCTTCTGCTCTGGAGTGTAAACGCTTCACCTATGAGAAAAAGGAGCAGCGCATGAACCGAACGCAACACACGCGAACCGAACCGAGACAGTCGAACCGAACGGTTCGGACGGTTTTCAGAAACCATTCCATCCCTAATATATAGTGACATTTTAATATTGCGATAATGTTGGAATATTGCAATGTCACTATATATCGCGATATCGCAATATATAGTGATCTATATATACTAGGGCTGCAACTAACAATTATTTTAAAAATCGATGAATCGGACGATTATTTTTTCGATTAATCGAGGAATCGGACAAAAAATATTTTTTATATTGACCTCTTTATTCCAAAATAAACATTTTAGACAGAACAAACAAGCACACAAGTACAGGTTGCTCATTAACTGTACTGGTGCAATATGAAAAATAAATGTTTGTGTAAAAACTACGCAAACTTACATGAGAAATGTAGCTGTACATCCACAAAATATAGGCTACTTTGTTTCATAAAGCGCAAAAAAAGACATTTTTGTTTTTAAAGCCCCTAAGGGGTTCAAACAATACGCCCCCCCATTTCAACAAATGAGGTTTTTTTAGACTAGAAGAGTTCTGCCTTTTAAGACAGGAAAGTATAGCAGTTAAAGTTGCTACTTGAGAAAATACTGAACCATAGAGATAAAAATAGCCCTGTGATTCAAATTATAAATTGTATTTGGAATAAAAATGAGAGAACTAGGGGTGGTAAAAAACACATCCTCCAAAGACAGATATTTACATGGGAATGTGGCAGATAATTAATTGACATATTACTGATCTTGCTGGATTTTGTTCTGCTTTACTTCCATAAATTGCAGGATCTTCTTTACTTTATCTTCACCAGAAGATTTAAACTTTAAAAGCCTTGCCCTCATAATTTGCAAGTTAATTTATTTATAAAGTAAATATAAACGCTGCTTAAGCTAATTCAAATGAAATTAAAAGTAAAATAAGTAGCCAACCTTATCACTGTCTGTAACCTACTAACAAGGTAAGGAAAGCATCAGATGAGCTACCTGAGAAACTAACGTTACGTTTCCCCACTTTAAAACCAAACAAACATGGTGGTTCCGTGCCATGTTAATGTCTTTTGAAAAAAGTTGCATGTTTTCACTTTTTTCGCTTTACAAAGCGCAGGCTATTTTAATTATTGTGATCAATTTGCGCCGTCAATCCCGGTGCATGCGCGCTTCATTTGCAGTCTGGACGCTGAAGCTCTGACTGCAGCGCTGAGAGGGACTCCTGCGGGAAAACCCGGTTTGGGGTGGGGGAGGCGCCCCACGGCAGAGTAGGAACGATACATGCTGTCACGTAAGAGTCTCTAAAAGCCGCCAGTGACACCGAAAAAAGTCGCCAGATTTGTCGCTAGTCGCTTTTTTGAAAAATAGTCGCTGGAGGGGTCTGAAAAGTCGCTGAGTTGGCAACACTGCACCTGCGGCGCTGGCTCGCTCTGCCATATTTTTTTTTCTTCCTCTTTCAGTCAAGAGGCAGTGATGACGGCGCGGCGGATGACGCAATAATCGCGCGACACAACTAATCGATGATGAAATTCGTTGCCAACGCTTTTAAAAGTCGATTTTTATCGATTTTATCGATTCGTTGTTGCAGCCCTAATATATACATATATATAAAGAGATCTATCTTTATATATACTGTATATAAATTTTGCAATATATATAATCTATGCCATTAGACTGCTGAATGTTGTATAAGATGGGTTATTTTATTTATGACAAAAAAAAAATTTAGAACTATAAATATATGTTCATATTATTATTATCATATTACTTTTTTAATGTATTTATTACTGTTTTCAAGGCTGCACTTCAAAGAAATGAAATCGTCTAGATCTGTTTTAAATGAAATTTCTTTTTGACAAAATAAAATAACAAAATAAATCTGTCTAAATCTCTAAGTCTAATATAGTGACATTGCAAGATTGCGATAATGTTGGAATATTGCAATGTCACTATATATTCCGATATTTTTTCCATCTATTGAAATCAAATGTATAGATAAAAAAGCAAATGCTGTATATGTTCATCATAAGAAATTGATCATTTAGTTATTTTGACATCCATGTTGTCTGGGGTCTAAGTCAGTCAATGTCTGCCTCAACTACAGATATGATGCTGTGCCGCACAGCGAAAGGGCTACACTGTGTCATCTGCCAGAGCAGTGGTGCAGAGGTAGCCCATTTTCCCTT